TGTGTGTGTGTGTGTGTGTGTGTGTGTGTGTGTGTGTGTGTTTAGCTTTAGCTCAGTATAGCACCATGTAATCATTTTTATGGGCTACGTAGTTGTAACAAAGTACCAAGTAGTGTACCTCTTCTCTAAGAGTTTGTAGGTAGAGATTTTGTTATGCTTGTGTTGCTAATATGTCTTGGATGCTACATTACATGGGAAGATGTGTTTTTCTTTATATTTTGTATGATATTTGCATTTTATGGAATTTTGCATTTTTATCAATAAACACCAGTTAGTATATATTTTCTGACTGGAATTTTGCATTTTTATCAATAAACACCAGTTAGTATATATTTTCTGACTGGAATTTTGCATTTTTATCAATAAACACCAGTTAGTATATATTTTCTGACTGGAATTTTGCATTTTTATCAATAAACACCAGTTAGTATATATTTTCTGACTGGATTTCTTTGGGAAACAAGAAATGGCCATTGCATTGTGTTTGCTTTCATGGCTAATATTTTCCTGGAGTTTTTGCTGCCGTCTGCACAAACAGGAGTGTTTGTGATTATCACTCTGCCCGACAAAGGTTATCATCAATAGTTGGCAATATACTATATACTTCTAGTTCATTCCATAATCCAAGAATACAAGCATGCCATTCCAGTGGTAGTTCAAAGACACTTCCCCATTTCCAAATGAGATGGACAGGCATAGTTGTAAAGAATAACAAGACTTCTGGTGTTCCCCAGAATAGTATATGCCTATTCATGCGTAATAAACTGAAATGTTTAAACTTCAATAATGCTGCTAGCACTCAATGAGATAAAATATGACTTCACTAATCTCCACTTGAAGATGAGTAAAGAACCCATCAGCCCTGGGTTTTCCCCCTTTCTCACTAGGGGAAACATTATTCAAACAGAGGTGATAACAATCTATTTTCAACCTTGTTAGCTGCTATGTTCCTGCAGAAATCAAACATCAAATTTGGTTTAAAACATGAATTTGTATTATTTAGTCAAGACTTGATTTCTGTCAGTGGACTACCTGCTGCACTTTTCACCACTGGCTAAAGACATCTCATGTAGACCACAGAACAGTTCCTTTCAAATTAGAAAGACATGTTGAATTATACTTATAGATGCTAGCTGAAAATTTTTGAACTTGCAATCTAACACATTAGAAAGACATCTTGGTGGGGAATGAGATCATTTTGGCTAGATCTACTGTCTAAAAGAAGTGTACCAGAACACCTAATTATCTAGCACCCATCTTTGACATAAATAGCTCAATAGTCTGTCTAAATGCCTATTTTGCTTAAGCTTCTTTTTAAACATCTGTCCATTAACCTATTGTTCTACTCATTAATTTTCTGCTTCACTCACCTCCACATTAAATTTTATTTTCATATTAACCAAACAAATTTGCTCTAATAATTAGATTCCCATTTTATATTAAATGGGTGTGGGACATGGGTGTTACCAGGTTCTTGGTGCTTTCATTGTAAAGAAAAGAACACCTTGCTGGATCGAGCCAAAGCATTTTAGTACTTACGCTCACCCACCAGTTGATTCTGGGACACTCACAAACAGGAGATGGAGCTATACTTCTCTCTCACCATTGCTTCCCCTCCAACTAGTATTTGTGGTCATGATGCCCCTGAGGCAGAGGTAACACTGAGTCTTCAAGATCAGTAGCTCTTGATAGTCCCTCCCAAAAGATTACCTCTATCTATACAAATGCATTTCTGTGTAGAAACCCTGAGCATGGAGATTTAAAACTTAGTATCTCCCCTTAAGATTCCAAAGATCTAACATTTTGGGGCCGCTGAATATATTTTGTATTTTGAGAGGACATCATGCTATGACTGTTTGGGGGGAGAACTTGCCCATTCAAAAATGCCTACCCAAAATAAAAAAAGGGGAGGGGGCAGAGAGCCCTGAGGGCATGGAAGTGTCTGCTACAATAGAGATCACACTGGAATCCCAGGTCTAGCAGGATCAAGACTACTATAAGGCAGAATGGAGCAACAGCTGATCTGAGAGGGGAAGAAGAGGCAGCTGTCCAACTGTTCCTTCTGAGCTTTTCTCTTGGAAAACTGAACAATGTATATCACACAACCCGTCTTGCATTCCCTAAACTATCCTACTGCCTTCAAGTACGATTGAGGATTCAATCTCATTACCAGTTGAAGATTCAACTGTCAGTTCAGCTGGTTTCCGTAAATGGAATGGAGGAAAGCACTACCTTGTCCTTGGTGTAGTATCAAAATGGCAGGGAGAGGAATTGTTAAATCTCCTAATTAGCTGGATAAATGGTTCAGATGTTGGGTACCAAGTTTCTAGGGTATCCTAAATATACCAAAATATATAGATTTTATCCCCTCAGATATGTTTCTTATGCAGTCTCAAAAACATGTAATCTTTGCACCCCTCTCACCCATCTTATTCATCTGAATGGTGTGTAGTACTAACCAGTCATCTCCCACATTGAAAGCATTGAGGCTTTTGGTGAATCCCTGCATGTTGTTAGGACTGACTCTCTGAAGGAAGTCAATATAATCTTCTGAATGAAAGCGACACATGTCATGCTGAGAAGCTTGATATGGCTTAAATACCTGCAGAAAAAAATGTTTCTGTTCATAGCTGAATTCAAATAGTAGTGAAAGAGAGTTGTCAAACTGCAAACTTCCAGTTTATGTTAAGTTCTAGTCACAATTTTCAAATAAATAAATTTATTACTGACTGAGCAAGCTTACGGGGCTAGAGTTCACTTTCTCAGATACGCATGGTAGGTTACCTTGAGCTGGCAAGCATAACTACATTTATGTATGTATTTATTTACTTAAACAATTTATATGGCCGCCCAACTCACTCATGGTGACTCTGGGCAGCTTACAAAAATAAAAATCCCAATACAAAACCCACTCCACCCCACCCACCCCCAATACACACCCATCTACAGTACATGCAATTGGGGAGGAAAGGATGGAGAGAGAGAGAGAGAGAATTTTGGGACACGGTGCCCCAAAAGGAACCTTGGCTTCAATCCTCCTTACATTCCCAAAGGCCATAAAATTGTTTCATTTCAATGAGCCTTTGGCTCACAGAGTAATTGTAGGTAGCCTTATGAGCATAGTATTGTATATCATATCAAATCATATATCAATCACATCATATCTTTTAATGTGGTTGATTAATTATGTTATTTTCCTTGTGCACCATTCAGAGTCTTTTTACTGGGGCAATCTATGATCATAAAATAAAAAAAATAAGCAAATATCTAGAATCCATTCATGTGCCCATTTTCAGTATGCTACATTCTATCATTTGCAAGCAATGCCTTCCTACATTTACATAAGACAAATTGGGCAACACTGAGAAAATTATGATACCATTTTTCAACCTTCCAAAACATTGCATAAGTGATCTTAATATGCTATCTTTACTTTAAAGAATATAAATGATTTTGTTTCTTTTTTTAATTTGTCAGTCTTTCTTCAATAATCTCATTTATTGCTCATGGGGATGTTACTGGAACTCAATAAAAACAAGGAAGTATTTTAAATAATATCTGGGCTGTGCAAAAATTCCAGATGACCACTAGATGGCAGCAAAGGGTTGCTTTTCAATTTTTTTTTTTTTCCTTGCTGTTATCCAAGTTGTCCAAGTTTTGCACAACAGATATGGTGGTCCTATTAGAGGCAATCTACAGAGACTGGAACAAAGGCGCATGTCCACTAATATTCTTCCTCCTGCAAGCTGGAAGAAACTGCAGTTTCTAAAGATTCTTCAAAGGGTAGCTCCAAGTAAGTCATACTATAACAATCCAATTTAATCTAATTAAGGAGAGTCTGATCTACTCAGCACTACTAGTTACCACTGTGACTTGATTATCTACAGTGGGATTAAGATTCATATTTAACAAACTAGAATCTGATTCACAAAAGTTAATGCGGCAAAGGACCTTGTTTTTAATTAAGAGACACCCTTATATTAACCACCCATACCAAAAGAGCTATAGCAAACAATGCAACATAATGAGTTGAACCTTCTTCCCTGTGTTAGAACTGCAGAGGTAAACAGGTGATCAGGGACTGTCCTGGCAGTTTACATGACTGGGAAATATAACTCCCTGCAGCTGAATTTCTGCCAATCAGCAGGCAGGCACTGAAACTTCTTTCCCCATGGGAAAGGGAGGCGGGGTAAGATCTTTCTTAGCTAAAACTGACAGAAACGTAAGAAGTCAAAGATATCATAATTTTGGACTTGGTGAACAATGTCTGTCCAAACTATGGATCCCTGCTTTGAGATTTTCTCTTCTGTGTAATAATAGGGAGGTTTTACTACAGTTAAAAGCATATTATATGGAACATACTGGCAAACAAATGTGTATCAGTTCCTTAAAATTAGTAATAATGACTTAAAATCAAACTGAAGTGTTCACATGAAGCACTTACAATCATCTTCTTATAGAGTCCATAATGTAGCACCAGACTGTGGGTCAATGCCAACCGATGCGGCTTCATGGGATGTCCTGCTCCTAACATGAAAAGAAAGAAGAAAAAAGAAAGAGAAAATAATTGAATACACCTAATATAATTAACATATCCGCATCAGAAGGACAGGAATCTACCTGATCACTACCACAAGTTCTTATAGAAAGATGAACAATAATATGAAATTAAAAGTGGGAGGCCTTTCAGAATAAGATGGGGATATCTTAAACTCCTCTGGAGCACAAAGATCATCAACTCATTGACTGGGATCTACACAGCTAAGAAATATTTATCCTGTTTTGGAAATTTGCTTAAACTAATTAAGTTTAAACTAACTAAGCAAGTCCCCATGCAACCATATTGTCACAAAGTGATCTGTCAGTAATTTATATGTATACATCCTGGAATGGACCCAAAACTCTGAACAACTGCAATAAACCTCATAAAGTTAAAAAAAAAAAAAGTAATACTTAATACAATTCTATACAATAATAAGTTATCAAGGGACTATGATTCCGCCCATACCTTCTAACATTTCACAGATGAAGATACAGGTACTCTCACAGAGCAATGCTTGAATTCTATCACATTCCATACATACAGTACAATTATACGCCACCATGGATAAACGATGTGCTACCATACTAGGCTACTAGATATGGACTGCAAAAATCCAGACACGCTTTGCTACCATCTGGACCTTTGCAAACTACAAGCGGCAATCCGCATCACCGGATGTGTTATTTTGAAATAGGAGTTGGTTGGTTCATTGATGGGGTGTGTGTGTGCAATAGTAAGCACTGCCGTAAAAATTAAAGCAGGTTAGCTTTTGAATGGCACAAGACTCTGTTGCTTAAGTTCATGATGGATATGATTGCAGTTATAATCAAGGAGCAGTTCAAACGCAAACATCAAGAGCACCCGGAAAGGCTTCTCTTTTCTCAAAACACGAAGTAGTGTGATGTGATTCCTGCCAGGTCTCCTACGCGTGCACAGAACTCAGCCTTTCAAATCAGGAAAGAAAGTCGAAGTTTTTTTTTCAGCGTTGCCGCAAAAACAGAGACAAGGACCACAACAAAACCGAACTGGAGCACATGGCTATTAGGAAAAGTCCGTTCCTTTCCTCAACCGAGGAAAAGTCAGACGACAGCCTTCGCTCGACCGCACCCCCTCCAGAAAGCAAGAGCATCACAAGACTTCCCAATTACCGCTGCTGCGCACGCACCGTAATGAAAATTGCCCACATCGGGATCATAGAAATAAGCCACAGTCTTCGCCATGCCCTCCACCCTCGGAAGGACTCGAGCGCGGAATGACCTCCTGGCTTTGTCGCTCCACCCACAGGCCTCACGTCACCGCGTCGCCTAGGTAACGCACGGAAGCTCTGCCCGGAAGGAAAGAAGGCCTCTCTTTTCCCCGCGCGGAGAGCCTGGTGCGCAGGCGCCAAATCTCCGCCGCCTCAGTTTAGTCTCGGGAACGGAGTGAACTGCTCGGTAGCTGAAAGAAATAAGGCGTTGAGGAGTCACGTTGCTTGTTAATCGGATAACATGCTTCAGATGCGGTTTGGTTTGCTATTAGTTCTTATTGAAACCGGACTGCGATATCTGGGCTGTCAAAAGCCGGACGATCGCTAAGGGACAATAACGAGTTTTCTTTACCTTTTCCTTCCCCCTAGGGTTCGTCAGGATTTTCGCAGCCCAAATTCTAAACTTAAACAATTAAATTTAAATATTTTAAATGGCCCTAATTTGAAATGAAATAAAAGGCTCCCTTCTGCCAACTTTTTAAAACACTCTCAAAAGGTACAGGAAAAGTGGGTATAATTCCATAAGACGCAAAGTGGACGTACCGGAACTCAGCGAGAAGATTACGCAACTGGGACGATGAGATGACTCTTTGACGCTGGAAGTTTACAAGACTGGACACCAACCATATTAGGGTATTCCATGATACGATGCTTGTAGCCAGAACATCCTGTCTTATATCACAGAGCTTTGGAAAATGTCCCCAGGGATTCTTCATATCCAGCTACATGAATAGCAAAAAGAAAGAAATTCTTAGAATTGTATAGCTTATTGAACTATTTAATAAAGATACAAAAACACTATACACAGACCACTACAATATGGATAAGATTTTTTATCCATAAAATTAACACAAACTGCAAGGGGGAAAAAAAGCTTTCTAACATTATGAGCAGTTTGATGGTGAAACGAATTATCCAGGGAGATATTGAGCTCCCCGTCATTGGATGTGTTCAAGTGGATGCTAGATAGCTATCTGCATTAGATGTTTTAATGTGCTTTAATCTGGATTCTTGCATTGAATGTTGCTTGGAAAACCAGAGGTTCCTTCACAAGTTATTTTTCCTTATAAAACATAATACATTATGCAGAGATATTTAGGCTATTTGGTAAGGCATGAGAGCCTGCCAGAAAAAAAGTTTATTAGGAAGAATAATAAATTGGTTTATGTACTTGTTCCTATACATAAAGAATGGAAACTATATCTGAAGAAAAAAATAGACTTTGGCTTGGCCATTAAACACTCTATATTGGAGTTTGAATACTTGGTAGTGGAGGACAGTGTATTTTAAGTATGAATCAGTTTTGAATAGATAGACCAAAGCCTATTTTTTTACATAGCATAATTTTTATTGTGTTGCCAGGAAAGTACTGTAGTCAGTTATAAAGGATTTAACTGTTTCATCAAAAATTGAAACGTTAATATATCAGAAACTCTGCCAAATTAAAACTTAAGCACCTTTACATATACCCATCACAGAGGATATGCTGGGGCTTGGAGTAAGGCTGGGTGTGCCTGCTGCATCTATTAGCACCTCTTTAAAACAGTTGCATTTTTATCTGGGCCCAAATGATAGCTATGCAATTCCAGGCAAATACATATTTGAGTGAAGGAGGTGCTGACATGGTTCTTTAGAGATGGCGTGGCTGTGTTGTCAAGTCTCCTTAACTCAAATTCATATTTTCCTGGGATCACAAGGCTACTGTGCAAGTCCAGGAAAAGATGCAGCTTCTTTTTTTAATAAAATTTTATAAAATTTCAGAAAACGGTAAAATACAGAGAAATCAAAAGAAAAAAGAAAGGAAAGTACAGAAAGAAAAAAGGTAACTTCCGATTTTGTTTGGTACAGATATAAGTATAAAATAAATTCACCTCTTACTCCAACATCTAAAAAAAATCACATAATGAAAACTATCCTTTACTCTAACATTAAAAAGAGCTTTACAAAATAACTCTATATCAGCCAAAATATAAAAAAGTAATACAAGATATTTCTGTAATTCTAAAATAAATCAGTCATCAAATCCTGAAGTCAAAATTTCATTTTTTTGTGTATCAAGTAAAAAGTCCAAGAGTGGTTTCCACACAGAAATAAAGCTAGACAGTGTCTTTTCTTTAATCAAGATAGTCAATTTTGCCATCTCCGCTAATTCCATTAATTACAGTATCCATTCTTCAACTGTGGGTATTTGTAACTCCTTCCATATTTGTGCATATAAGTCTCGCTGCCTTTATCATACAAAGAAACAAATTTCCATATTTTCTTTCTATCTGTTTTTCCATCGTACCTAAAAGAAAGGTCTCTGGTTTCAATTGTATGTCCATTTTTAAGATTTTTAAAATCAAAATACATATCATATCCCAATGTTTCTTAGCTTTTTAACAGGTCCACCATAAATGATAAAAAGTACCTTCGCACTGGTTACATTTCCAATGTACATTTGAAATTCCTTTATACATCTTACATAATTTATCTCAAGTCAGGTACCAATGATACATCATTTTATAACAATTTTCTTTTAAGTTACAATTAAAAATAAACTTCAAATCTTTATTCCACATATTTTCCCATTGGTCCAGCATTATGTTATAGCCAATTTTTTTTCCCCATTTAAACATACAGTCTTTAACATATTCATCTTCCAAACTCATCTTTAACAAACATTTATACATTTTAGCAATACGATGTTCATCATTGGAACACAAAGCATATTCAAATTCTGTTTTCTCTGGAGTAAATTCATAACTTTTCTTATCCAATTTAAATCTCTCCATCAATTGTGCATAGGTAAGCCATTGGCAATTATGACCTTCCAATTCTAGTTCTTCTCTCTTCTTCAGAATAATCTCTCCATCAGAAAAAGATAATAGTTTTGCATATGTCACCCATGGTTGTTTAAGTGTCATTTCTCTTCTATAAAAAGCTTCTTGGGATGACAACCATAAGGGGATTTTGGAAGACAATCTTAACCTTATATCTGTTCTAAACTCTCAATAAAGCACGTCTAATAAAATGATTCTTAAAGTCAATATTAACTTTCACTTTGTCATACCATAAATATTCATGCCATCCAAATCTTAAATCATGTCCTCGTAGTTCCAATAACCTCTTATTTTTTGAAGTCACCCATTCTTTCATTCATACCAGACAACAAGCATCAAAATATAACTTTAAATTTGGAAGGCCTAGCCTACCTCTTTCTTTAGTATCCTGTAAAAGTTTATATTTTATTGTTTTTTTTACCTTGCCATACAAATTTAGAAATACCTTTTTGCCATTGCTTTAACGGTACATCATTTGTCAATAACAGTATTGTCTGAAAAAGAAAAATCATTCTAGGTAAAGCATTCATCTTAATTACTGAAATTCTACTTAACAATGACTATTATAGCTTGTCCATCTCATTAAGTCTTTTTTTAATGTCATTCCAAACTTAAACATAATTATTCTGATATAACATAGAATTCATATTGGTCAGTGTACCTCCTAGATATTTAACCTTTTCAATTTTAAAACCAGACTTCTTCATCAACATTTCTTGATCATGTATAGTCATATTTTTAACCAACATCTTTGTTTTTTACTTAAATCCAGCAAGTGTTCCAAACTCTTTGTTTACCTTAAATCCAGCAAGTGTTCCAAACTCTTTCAATTTCTTCATTGAACATTAAATTCCATTTTGAGGTTCCTGTAAAATCAAAATTGCAAAATTGCACAATTTTGCATCTGCAAAAGCTCTTAGTCTATACATTTCTTTTTTGATTTGCAAGCCCTTTATATTCACATAATGTCTAATATTTCTATTTAACACTTCCAAAATTAGAATAAAAAGTAGAAGGGACAAAGTACACTTCCCAAAAGGCAAGTATTATTGGTAATGATGAGTTGACAACCCTTGCTTTGTCCCCTTCTGTATCTCACAAGGTTTTGTCAGCTGATCATTAACAATAATTCTTGCCTTTGGTCTATAATTCTTGGTTATAATTGAGTCTTGGCCTTCTTTTGGTAATAATGCTATATTAGCTTCTTTCCAGGTTTCTGGCATTGCTGAGCCCCCTAAAATAGAATTCATCGCTTGCTTGAGTGGCAATAACAATTCATTTTCAAAAAAATTATAATAAGAACTTGTTACCCATCTGGTCCAGGGGATTTCCCTGTTTTAGCCTTTTTAGTAGCTTTTGATATTTCAAAAGTAGTCACAGGGCTATTCATAGTTTGTTTCTGAGATTGAGAGAGTTTTGGTAGATTTTGTTTCTTTAAATATTCATCAGTCTGGACCAATAAAACTTCTTGTCTTTTATACAAATTTGAAGAAAAAAAAAGATTTCTGAAGATGCAGCTTCTTTTATGGTGCCTGTGCCCACTCTGACACACATGTTTGGCTTCACAGCACACTCCTGCCTATCAAACATGGAACAAAATTCCTGGAGGAAATGATTTATTTAAAGTGTCAAATTTTTACAGTGCAGTTTTGATGATGTAACATAGTATAATTGGATTTTATTGCTGATTCAGTTTGATGAAAAGTTTTCATTGGCTGTTTTCCCACATCAATGAATGACACATATCAGCTCAAATTCTATTATTATGAGCTGCCATGAAGCTTTTAATAACCTAAGGACAAATATCTTTTTTTTCTATAATTTTTATTAAAAGATTTTGATTACAATAGTAAAAGTGAATACAAACTAAACTCAGAAAAAGAAAAAGAAATAGAAAGAATAAAAAGTGTAAAGAAAAAGAAAAGTAAGATAAAGAGAAAAAAATATGTAAAGAAGTGACTTCCAGTCTTCATCACAAATAAAAACAAATTTGATAACTCTTCCCCCCCCATAAGGTTACAAACAAGTATCTCTTCTTCCCATAACCCATCCTTATCTATAAGCAAATCCATAA